GCACAAAAGATCCAAACCCTTGAACAGCACAAACCCTGAGATTCAGAACTGAAACCCTAAACCCTAAACCCCGAATTAAACCCTAAACCCTAAAACCTCAACCCTAAACCCTAAACCCTAAAATCTCAACCCTAAACCCTAAACCCTAAAACCTAAACCCTAAACCCTAAAACCTCAACCCTAAAGCCCTAAACCCTTCAAGGGTTAGGATTAATACTGGGGCCAGCCGGGGCTCTTCCGTCATAGGGTTTCGGACGAGGAAACTGCATGGGTAGTTCTCTAAACTAGGACTCAAGGGATCTATAAGGGTTTCTATACCTGTATCCCCAAGCCCTACAAAATAGTAGGTTATGACCCCTTAATTCGAGGGTCTATAACCCTTAAAGCGGTAGGTTTTTGGATCCACAGGTAGGGTTTCTGAAAGGGTACCGTAAGGGTTTATATGGTGTTCGGGATTCCTTTTCGGGTCCTTCCTATAAGGGATTCCTTTTCAAAATGGTCCGGGTACAACAGGCTACTGTAAGGCCAAAGTAGTTACCCTTCGGGCACATGGAATGTTAGGGATAAAGGGTTTAGGGGTTTAGGGTTTAGGGTTAAAGGTTGGTGGTTCTGGCTCCTATGTGGTTTATCTAGAATCTAGAAGCACTGGTCAGCAGCAGCATCAGCATCAGCACAGCACTAGCTCTTGTGCCAGCCATGTGGCCATCGCTGCCATCATGGGCGACACCGCGAGACTGGGAGACACGTATCGTGGTGACACGTCTGAAGTACTTCGACCAGTCGAAGCTCAGACCCCCTCCAACCAAAGCGGCTCGGCCTCTCTGAATGCGCGAGACATTGCGAGAGCAACATCGTCGAACAACACTTTTGCAGCTCATCCCAGGTGGTCAAGGATGTCCCGGACCCGGACAAGGAGTACATGCTGGAATCGCTCCGGCGAGACATCTGCTGATAGGTCAGGATAAGGGCATACTCACAGGGAGGAGACAGAGACTTCGGTAAACTCAAAACAGTACAGCGCAATAGACATAAGCAGAACGACAGGCACACCCACGCCTCGCTGGAATCCTGTGAACAGGAGGCACAGATTCCCGAACTCTTCCAGCCTTCAGCCACTACCCTGCAAGCCTACAGCCCCACACCCTAAAGCTCTTCAACACGTGGGTGGGAACCCTTGCAGGAACACCTTACAGGAACCCTCTATTTGGGTACATGGACCCTTTAAGGTATACTCTTGCCTGAGCCTGAGGAGCCCCGACCGTTCGAACTACGGTTTAGGGTTTAGTGTTTCTTGATGGTCCAAGCGCACTCACACCCTAAGTCCTAAACCATCTGGAAGCAATGTACCTATACCAACCCTGAACCCTGAACCCTGTAGCCCTAAACCCTGAACCCTAAACCCTGAACCCTGAACCCTATAACCCTGTAAACCGAAAGCTGCCAGGTGTGGCTGCTCTTGCTGCCCGCCCTCTCCACGGCACAGTGGCTGCAGCGAACCATCCATGCCGGGCGCATGCTTGGGTGCGCCCGCCGTCCGTAGAGTTGAGGAGTTTAGGGCTTTGGGCTCAGTACCTGGAACGTGACTGAGTTTAAACCTTACATCCAAAGCCCCGAAACTGCAACCCACAACACCCCACATCTGGCATTCTTAATTAGGCGCAGTCAAGACCAACATCCCCTAAACCCTAAACCCTAAACCCTAAACCCTAAACCCTCAACCCTAAACCCTCAACCCTAAACCCTCAACCCTTCCGAACTTGCTCGGCCTGGCCTGGCGGCTTCCCGGATCTTCTCCCAAGCCCTGGCACCGAACGCCCGTACCTGGTTGAGGGTTTAGGGTTGAGGGTTTAGGGTACTAGAGTCTCCATTGTAATTCCTTTTTGGGGTTCCCATATAGGGTCCCAAATATCAAGGTTGGTTTAACCAAAAAATGGGACTACAATGGAGACTATAGGTATTGCTGCTGGACAAATCCTTGCATTGCCTTGAAGAGCCTACCCTAAACCCTAAACGCTAAACCCTAAACCCTAAACCCTAAACCCTAGCCTGAAGAAGCTGGTCCCTTATATGTTCCTTTGCTATGGAAGCCGAAGCTCTCTATCGACCCTAAGCCTGTTTTCTTCATCTCCACCCTATACAAGTCGGTAACAAGACGGTTTAGGGTTTAGGGTTTAGGGTTTAGGGTTTAGGGGTTTGGGTTTAGGGTTTAGGGTTTAGGGTTTAGGGTTTAGGGTTTCAGAAAATTCCGACGGGTCCATCACTCAAGACAAGTGGTATAATCGTGTTGTGGTTCTTGCTAGCAGTACATCACTGTGACGGTACATCTCGTCCAGTCTGGCAACCATCGGTCGAACCCAATCGGCCCTAGGTACCTGTATAGTACGCTGTATAGTAGAACCCAGGGTTTTCGTATAGTAGGAAGTAATTGAGATTTATTATTGAGATTTGGCAAAGTATCCCGGCCGTGACGCCACAACCACACAGGATCGTAGGTTGAGGATCCTCCCGGGTAGGTCGTAGTCTGAAAGAGGTCTCTTGGGTCAACTTTGCATGGCTTTTGTCTTTTGAGATGCCCAAACCCAAAACCCAAAACCCTAAACCCTAAACTTGTCCGAAGCACTTTGGTTTCTTCCGGTCGCACTCGGGCGTTTTGTTCGCTATGGTCGCGGCTGACGAGCCTTGGTGGCAGCAGATCTGCTTGTCGCTGGAGTCCTAGGGGTCCCTACTTAAAAGGTTCATGGGACCTGGGTTTAGGGTTTAGGGTTTAGGGTTTAGGGTTTAGGGTAGCTATACTTATAACTACTTATAACGCCAATGAAGCTACTTATAACCATACTTACTCAGTCCCATGACCAGTCGTACGGTATAGGGTTTATCGCGTTGAGATTATGGAGTTTCGACGCACAGCATCTCTCCTTTCTAGAGGCCTTGCAGTGTGCTATTTAATTACAGAAGCTCACCCTGAAGCCTCATGCCCCTGAATTTCCTAAAGAGTCCCTTGCTTAGAGCATTGAGTCCAGAGCTTTGTATTTAGGCCTGCTGTCGTGTACTCGAACTTCTGGCATATTCCCATACTACCCCTCAGGCTCCACATCTGCCTATGTAGTATACTCTTAGGCCAGTAGACAGGGTCTGGAGGGTTCCTGGTTGGGGGCTTTCAATCCTCGAGCACTACACTACCTTGAACTGCAGCTTCACTTTTCAGGGCTTACTTAGGCAGCATTTAACTTTGCTGGAAAACAAATGTAAATGTAGACATATGCACCTTTACAGCATATACATGCATGTGTCAACATAGATATGAACACAACAATTAAAGTAAAAGCTACGTTTGTATGTGTGTGTATATATATATATATATGTACATGCATATATACATATATGTATTTTTCTCTATCTCTCTCTCTCCCGCCTCTCTGACGCTCACTCTTTCTCTCTGCTTGCCATAATGAAACGGTCAACCCTGTTTGGGCCACTGTGCTCAGCTAAACCCCTAAACCTCTAAACCTAAACTCCAAATCCGAAAACCCTTTAAGATCCTAAACCTTAAACCCCAAACCCCCAAACCCCTAACCAGAAGACTCAAAACCCCCGCGATTCCCCTAAACCCTAAACCCCAAACCCCTAACCCCTAAACCCTAAACCCTAAACCCTAGTTGGGATCCGACAGCTCAAGGAGAGCGGAGATGCCGGGTGGTCGCGGCAGAGCAGCCCGGCAGGACAGCCCGGGTTTAGGGCTTTAGGGCTTTAGGGGTTTAGGGTTTAGGGTTTAGGGGTTTAGGGTCTAGGGTTTAAGGGTTCAGGGTTTAGGGTTTAGGGTTAGTAGAACGGTTTCAATGACCCTAAGGGTCCATGTACCCAAATAGTAGGTACTTTGGCCCCAAAGTGTCCAAATAGGGACTACCTTAAGGCCAAAGTATCTACTAGTTGGGCACATGGACCCTTAGGGTGAGTGATGAGGCTTGACAGGCGCTTGGGGTTTAGGGTTCAGGGCCCCTAAACCCTAAACCCTTCAGGGTTTAGGGTTTAGGGGGCTGTACTGTTAAGCTTCACAGGCCTCGAATGTCTGTGAGTGCTGGCTTTTGGAGACCGTGCCATGTAAGACGTTCGGGTGCGGGTGGCGGGATTTAGGATTCACGGGTTTTCCAAACCCTCAAGGTCCAAGCTCAGATTCATGATCATCACTCCCAGAAAATACTAGCTTGCAAAACCTATTCCCAAACTCAAGCACCTAATTCCTGGGTCCTCAACCCTAAATCCTAAACCCTAAACCCTAAACCCGAAACAACCCAACCCTAAACCCTATAGACCCTAAACCCTAAACCCTAAACCCAACCCTAAACCCTAAACCCTAAACCCTAGACCTTAAACCCAATCCTAAACCCTAAACCCCAAACCCCAAACCCTAAACCCTAAAGGGGCCCTTACGGAGAGGGCCACGGACAGGAGCCACTGTCGCGTCGAAAAGCGCAGAGATCCTTCTGCGGATCAATCAGGCGGGGAACGCTTCCCAGGGTTCCGGGTTTCAGGGTTTAGGGTTTCGGGTTTAGGGTTTCGGGTTTTGGATTTTGGGGTTTGGGGTTTAGGGTTTAGGGTTTCAGGGTTTTGGGTTTTGGGTTCAGGGTTTTGGGTTTAGGGTTTTGGGTTTTTGTGTTTTGGGGATTTGGGATCATTCCTGCTAGGATTCCATATAATCTACCGTAAGGCCACCAGGGTGTAGGGTTTTGGGTTTTGGGTGAAAGTTGGGACATGCATTTGGGACAACTCCTGTCTTAGGATTCCTTATAACCTACCTTAAGCCAAAGTCAGTCGGAGCCATGACTGAAACCGTTGGTCTTACAGCCCTGGAAGCCCTAAGCCCTACACCCCTAAACCCTGAGCCCTAAACCCTAAACCCTAAAATAGCCCAAGAAGCCTGCCCCTAGTGGGCTTTCCAGACAGTGGATTGCTGCACGGAACAAAGAGCCTTAAACAAAAAATCAAAAACAGGCTCAAGAATTGCATAAAATTCCCCAAAAAAAACCCTTAGGAGCCTCAAACAAAAAGCATGCTCAAGAGGTGCATAAACCCTAAACCCTAAACCCTAAACCCTAAACCCTAAACCCTAAACCCTAAACCCTAAACCCTTCAACCCCAAGCCTGGCGCTCATCCTCTGAACCCGGAGGCCCCGAGCCTCCACACCCTGGACCTCGCAAGCCAAGTCCCCCTTTAGGGTTTAGGGTTTAGGTAAAAAAAAACCTACGAAACTGAGGAGTCCTACGTATAAGTTACATCGCACACGATTCGTATAAATAGCTTGTATCGTATAATGGCGTAGGTTTTATAGCAAGATGTAGTATAGCTTATAATGAAAGTATAGCCTACAATGGAATATAGCATGGTACGAGCAGCCTCAAATACACGTCAGCTAGGGTGGGCTTTTGGGTCTCCGGATTCACAGATTTGCCTTTCTTGGATTTCCGGGCCAGGGTTTATTGGTTTTAGGGATCAGTGTCTAGAGTTTAGAGGTTCAGGGTTTAGGGCTTAGGGTGATTGGGGATCTCTAAGACGGTTCAAAGGACCAACCTGGCTTGGCACCAAGACATTTTGTGTTTCCGCTGAAGTGCTTATGGCTAGCAGAGCTACTGTTGATGATATAAATCCTGCTTTATCCTCAGGACCCTAAACTACGGGAATTTTGGTATATTCCTCCTTATAGGCAATGCACGGTTTATATCATCAACCGTAGTAAAGAATGTTCATGTGGGCTTTTCGATTGCAGACACTCGGCCTGAGATGCAGGATGTTTTGGGTTCCCGGCACGTCCCACAACCCGTTGCCCAGACCCGTAGCACAGAGAGGAAGTATGGTATGTTATAGTATACTACATTACGATCTACGACATTATAGGATACCAAGCTTAGTAGCTTGGTTTAGGGTTCGGAGATACCCTGAAATGAAAAGCATTAGCAACCGGAATTCTTCCACATGAAGATGAACAGCCCTTGCTGTCTGCTGTCTTCATGTTGGGAGCGCAGACTCCCTAAACCCTAAACCCTTTATGTTGGAAGCCCAGACTTCCTGACATCCCAAGAAGTGCGGCAAGCGGTACACACATCTTTCCCTCCAACTTCATTGCAGGCTCAAGGACGCAGCCTGACGGCTTCATATGTCAAGCGGAAATACAATGCGCTGATTGTTGACGTGCTGGGGGAAGTGGGGTTTCTACTGTGGCGACCTGGAGTCGAGCGGGCAAAACATTGATCGATCTGGCTTCCCCCTAAACTATAAGCCTAAGGGTTCGCACTAGCTGTGGCCAGGTGGAGGATGATGTCAATGCCAGAATGGCGACGAAACTTTTCGGGACGGTGGGGGTAAAGGTGCCGACATCAAAGGAGATCCATCACATATTGCAAGTCTCTCCTGCCGTCCAAGACAAGCCTCTTCCAAGACCTCCAGGATATATGTTCACATATCCAGCACTGTATGGGGGTTTCCGAAAATAGGGGACCCTAATATAATACCCTAAATCGTAAGACCCTTATTATAATAAGGAACCCAAAATAATGTACCTTAATTTTCGGAAACTCCCGTATGCTCCTATCTTCGAAACCGCAATGGCCCAGCATCCCAACCCTGAGTCCTAGAAGGCCCAAAGCTCGGAATCCTGGACCATAGGCGATACGTCCATGTTGCAATTTAGGTTTCCCAGCTTTTAGGGTTTAGGGTTTTCTGGTTTACCCATAGGCCCTAAAGTAGTTCCTTTTTTGGGGTTCATTTTTTGCATCCTATAAGGTAACCCCAAAAAGGAACTACTATGGGGCCTACGGGTACACCCTAAACCCTAAACCCTAAACCCTAAACCCTAAACCCTAAACCCTAAACCCCATAGGGTACCTT